CTCCAACGTAATAGTCCACTCATCACATGGAAGATGGAATGTGTGTCTCTGGTCTCCACCTCTCAATCAAAGCAGAAATAAGGTTGGATTCAAGGTTACAGTGTTCTTCATATTTTACTATGTAACTGAATTCATCCTTGACTAAATACGGCCTGACATGACTCGGTATCTCTAACTTAGCATTACAGATAAACAGATCAAATATGCGGCCATTCCCCTAATTAAATAAATAGTATACAAATTAAAATATAAACTAATACTAAAAAATAAAACATTCACAATAATTAAAATAACACAATTTAAAATTGTTACCGTGTCAACAAAATGAGTTGAGATATGATTCTTATCTAAACACAGCAACTCGTCTTCCATTTTATAACTGCAAAAAGTAATAAAAAAATTAGTATAATAAAATATAATAAAATAATAAACTATTAAAATGATTATAATATAATAAAAAAATTTAGCTTCTAAAACCGATAACAAAACCTACTTAAAGCTTGATTGAAGGATGATAAAAAGGAATAAGAAGAGTATTTTTGGTGTGATTTGAGTGTTGTATGAGGAGTATTTATAGGGAGGGGCACGGGCGATTGGATGGTATAAAATGGATATGTGAAATTTAATGAAAGGTGCGCCTCATGATCTACATCTTTCTACCGTAACGTCAGCTCGGATAGAACCCCAAGAAGGCGCGTTTCTTGATTCGCGCCTTCCGTCTACTTTTGCAAGGTGCGTTCCTTGAAATACGCTTTATTATTACTATGTGAGAAATGATGCTAGATCGGTAATATTTAAAGAAATGATGTCTGAAAAATAATATTACATAATTTGGGTGATTTTTGAATAAAAACGCCTGGTTTGAAAGAGTGACGCTCTTACAAAGAGTATTTATTATTGGGTAAATTATCTGTTTCGTCACCCACTTATTCTTTACAACGAGTATTTATGATCTTCCTAAGAATTTATCTGATTCATTATTAATCGACCTAAGAAAACTAATGATTATAAATAGGGTAAATTACATATATGGTAATTAAACTTTACTCTCTCTCATATTTCACTCAATGTACTTTAAATCTTTCTTATTTCGTCACTAAACTTAATATATTGGGGGTTTTTTATCACTCAGCTATTAAATAGTTAACGACGTTAAAATGAATTGTTACATATATGCAAAACGATGTTGTTTTGGTGAAAATTTTGTTCTTTCAAAATTTCATCGTTTTAATGTCGTTAACAATTTAACAACAATGATGTTGTTTTGGTGAAAATTTTATTCTTTTAAAACGGCGTCGTTTTTAATGCCGTTAACAATTTAACGACATAGTGATCAAAATAGGAGAGAGAGTGAAGTTCAGTGACAAAAAAACTCAATGTATTAAGTTCAGCGAGAAAATATAAAACTTTTAAAGTTCTGTGAGCAAAATAGGAGTGAGAATAAAGTTCAGTAATAAAATTTGTAATTTACCCTTAGGGTGCGTTCGGTTCACGGAATGTAAGATTACCAGTGAGAATGCAAGATTATCAGGGAATATGATTACTGGGAATGTTGTATTTTTTGTTTGGTTGGTTTAGCAGGAATGTAAGATTACCGTGTTTGGTTAAAGGAATAAAATATTATTGGAATGTATATTTGACCAAATTGTCCTTATTATATATTTTTTTAACAAGTTGGAAAATATTTATATATTTCTTTAAAAATTTAAATTCATAAAATTTATATATATATATATATATATATATATTACAAAATTGAAAATATAAAAAAGTTTAATGAAAGGGTAAAATTTTATTTTAATCCCTGAACTTCATATAAAATTTTAATTATAGTTTTTTTTTGTAAATCTAAAATAGTTTAAGGATAAATTTGTAATTCAACCTTCGTAGAATTTTTATTATTCAATGACAGAAGAATGATATTTTTGAAGAAAAAAAATTAAGGGCATTTTAGTCCAAAATGCCGGTAATTCAACAATACCTAAGGAAATGGATGTAATGACATTTCCAGTAATATACCCAAAAAAATCTACTATTAGTAATAAAATATTATCGGGAATGAGATTCCCGACCAACCAAACATGTGAATGTCGATTCCATTCCCGTGGGAATCTCACATTCCTTGAACCAAACATCCCCTTAAAATAAAGAGGATCAAAGGAACAATATGGTTGGTTCAAGTGGTAAGCAACTTCATATCATTTTAGCAAAATATTGAGTTCAAGTCCCTGTGTATGTTAAAAATTCTTGTTGGGAGACTTACCATTAAAGTAAGGTTTGCGATGCGGGTCGATCTTAATTAATCAAGTCAATGTCTTGAATCTAGGAGGGGAAAAAAACACAAATTGAGAGCTTTGAGACTAATGAGTAATGAAGCCAGTTGAAGGAGGCCTTGGTTTGAAGGTTTTGAAAATGTAGGCAAAAACAAAGAAGGACTGAGGCAAAATCTAAGTGAAAACCCAAAGGGAAAATTCATATAAGCAGTCACTGAGCAGAACAGTGGCCGATATTGTACAAAAAAAAAAAAAAGCTGCAATTCAACTACTGAAAACTGTCTGATAGCTCTTGTTGTGGCATTTCAAAGGGTACCTGTTACTGACCCCATTCATCTGTTCTTTTCCTCTTGCAAGTTTCCATCACACCCAGATACCCTTCCTCGTTTTAGTGTCTCACTCGAGTCCTTATCTAGTTCGGGATACATCGAAAGGATGTTCCACTGTGATTTTGATTTTAGAAAGTTTCAAGTTATCATATAATTTATATATTTTTTTGTGATCTATTGACGATAATAATATACTCAAAATTTTATAAATTTATATTTAACATAAAATATTATATTTGATCCTACTAGACATATTTATTATATAAAATTTTGATTATATTTAAAATCAAATTAAATCCAACCTAAAAACAGTGATGGATCCAAAAATATTTTTTAAAGTTGACACACATATGTTAACTACATAAAGTTCTTAAATGAGTGATTACAAATAAAATCTTAGGGTTGGCATTAAACATGTACAAAGTCGGATAAAAAATCGATCCGGTATTTTCATTTAGCCAAAAAAATGGATTTTAAAAAAATAGGTTCGGATCCTAACCGGTTTGGAGGGTCGGATGGTGTAACCGGTTTCGGTTTGAAAAAAATCGATTTTTTAAAAAAACCGGTGGTGGTGAGCATCACTACCCTTGTAAAAAACGGTCACAAAATCCCACGGCTATATTAACGGCTAGTTTTAAAAACTCCAGACCGGATTTTTTTGGGATAAAAACCGGTAAAATAACCGATCGTTCAATTTTTTCTCAACCCGATTATATTATCCGGTTTTTAAATATCTGATCCGGTTTAAAAAAAATGATTTTTCCCAAATCCAATTTCGAATATTTTTTACGCAAAATCGGATATTCGGATTTTTTGTGCACCTTTAGTTGACACTGCAACTAAAATAAGTAATTAATCGAAGAAAATTCAAATTTTAATATGGACATAGAAAATTTTAAAATCAAAACTATCACTAAAATAAATAAATAATCGAAAAAAATTTAAATTTCAAAATATGCTCACCCTCACCGAGCTCCGCGGCTGCGCAAAAGTCTATATAATATTGAGTAGAAATATATACTGCTGGTTTTAACTTTCAAATATGGAAATTTACAGGGTGACAAAGTATGTATCGCTGTGGTAGTTTATAGCATTAAACACGGAAAAGGTGCTAATATTATCAAATTTGTCCTCTATATTTTGGAATTATTATTTTAAAGTATTTGATTATTATGTCAAATACATAATAGTAGTTAATAGTAACATAGTTTGCTAAAATGTTAAAATTGGTATAAATTTATACTTAATTATTTTAATTAATTCGAGAATATATAAATTAAAATAATATTAATTTAAAAAATATACCATAAATCCAAAATTTCTTATTAAAATATCAAATTATAGAAATTTATTGATTTCATTGAATGAAATTGTGGCTTTACCATGGTATTGAAAATGAGTAATTAAAATTTTAGTTGGCTTAGCGAATTCAAAAATTAAAAAGGTAAAAAAAGATTTGGCGGGTTTGATTTTCAACCTTATTTAATATCACTAAACATTAATTAGTTAATGTATAAAGTAACTCTTAATCCCTAAACTAAACAGGGTTTCTCAATTTGGTACTTGAATTTTGGCTCACATTAGTACTTAAATTTGATTATTTTTCTCAACTTGACACATGAATTTTTTTTCGATCCGCATTATGAGAACTTGGTATTTTTTCAATTAGGTCATTAAACTTGAATTTCATTAAGGACAAGGACAGGGCTAAGATGAAAGTTTGAGAATAGCTATCTATAAAATTCCATAAAATGAAATTTATGGTCTTAATGTTGAATTATCAATTAAAATTTCAAAACTATGAGTGGTTAGTGTCCATTTTGAAAAAAATTAAAATTGACAAGGATTTAACAACTATTTAACTTAGTTTATCTATGTTTAAATTAATATTAACTTAACACATATTTAAATGTAAAAAAATGAAGTACGAATCAACTTACCTCAGTGGTTAAAGGAATTGTTGTTATTCTTATAGGTCATGAGTTCGAGCACCAACGACTGTAACAGGGTGATTGAACGTTCATTATCAAATGGCTGAGCACCTTTCACAACACACTTATCTTCATCGTTGATTTAGGACTAAAATGTACGATAAATTCTAACTTTAAGGACTAATTTAAGAAAAGTATGGAGTTTAAGAATTAAAAGTTCGAGTTATCCCATTAATTAATAATTAAAACATTATTGAGTTCAAGAAAAAGTAATTAAAAAAGTCTTCCCTTTAATCCAAAATTTCCACAGATAAGGACAAAGAAATGGACGAAAACGAACAGCAGAAAAATTCAATCATACAACTCGGTAAAAATAAAGATATTATTATAAAATCCTATCAACATTCGATTTTCTCATCAATATTTATATATTCCCTTCAAAAACACAAGATTCTCAGTTGGTGGAGATGGAAAATCGATTCAAGCTCCGAATATCTCGCATATTTCGGACACCGTTTGGCTCCTGCCGGACCCGGAACGATGCCGATGTCGCTGAAAAGGCTGTTTTCTCACTTGAAACCCACACGTTCCGGTCGTTAAAGCCGTCGTCGCCAACACCTAAGGATCGGTCCTTACCTTCCATTTGTAAACCCAGATGCTCTTGTCAATCAACCCAAGAAGCTATCAATACCGATTCTATAATGGCTGCTCCAAGAGAAACTCTCCCACGGCGGCGTAAAGTCTCGGTCAAGGCTGCTCCTGCTTCGCCTATACCACACTTGCCCCTCTTCTCCGACTGTAAAGACTTTGGTTTCTACGAGAAAAAGAAGAGCTCAGCTACAAACAAGAAGAAGAAGAACAGAAGGGTTCACATCAAACAGAATAATACGTCGTTTAATTCCATGTTCTTCGGCTCATCTTCTCACGAAAGTGTTAATTACGGTGGCCGTGGCGGTGGGTGGTGGCGTTGGTTTAGCAGCGAAGACGAAGCCGAGACTCTTTTTTCTTCAAGGACTCTCTCGTCATCGGATTCATCATCGGAGTGGCACCAACATCGTGATCACCGGAGAAAACACAACGCTCGCCGGAGAAGAGCTAAGAGCGGGAACAAAGTAAAGGACAGCTTTGCGGTGGTGAAAAGCTCCGATGATCCCTACACTGATTTCAGGGCATCGATGGTGGAGATGATCGTTGAGAGAGAGATCTTTGAAGCTAAAGAACTGGAACAACTGTTGCAGTGTTTCTTGTCGTTGAACTCTCATCACCATCACAGGATTATCGTCGAGGTTTTTACAGAGATTTGTAAGACAATGTTCTCTAACTGGTCTTAAAATGCAGAACGACGACAACTCGACAAGAACAAGAAGCAAACTGTTTCACTTTGTTTGTCGTGTGTGTTTTACAATTACGTGTTCTTGAGAAACTTAGCTGCAGTAGCTGTAGTATTTTAGGGTTCTAAGTCTTAATTAACGTTGTTAATGAGATAAACTTTGATCCATATATGTTTTTATCATCTTCTAACATGAATCTTTCTTTGTCTCCATGAAAGCCTGAAGATTCAGTTTTTGTCTTGAAATTTGATAACTTTTGTGGCAGCTCTCCTTTCTATATTGAAAAGACACCTTTGTTTTTTGGATTAGTCAACTTACTATAATACAAGTGGGTTTAAATAAATATTATTTTTATATGTTATTATTTACTTTTGATAAAAATATATCTAGACATTAAAATACAAGGTAAATTATCATGACTTTAAATTAAATTTTATTTTGATTTTATGTTAGAAAGCTAAATGGATTAACATTTTACTTAATTATTTTTATTTTAATAAAGGAAAAAATTAAAATTGTATTAAGTGAAGTCAGTCATAGTCGGATTTTTAATTAAATTTTTAAGACAAAAAAGAAATGTTAACTCAGATTGATTGGGGTCAAGCTTTATTGAAATCATGTCAGACCAAATTCGAGCTAGCCAAATTCTCACTATGTTGACATCTTATTTGGAACTAGATCTAATGATTTTGAATATACTTCATATTTGAGAAAAGGGTAAACTATGCAAATGGTCCTCCAAATATATGGTTTTGTTTTGTTAAGTTAAGTCAATCGACTATTAAAAGTTATAAAATAATCATTCGATTATAGGATGTTACTTTGTTGAGCACATTGACTATTAAAAGTTACAAAATGGTCACCGACTATTCATAATATTTCAAATTCATAATTTTCTATTGAAAAATTAACGATAATCTGAGTTGAAGGTTAATCTATTGTCTGATACACGATAGTTGTTTGGGATTCTTGGATCATATTTTATCATATCTAAGACATCAAATTAACATCTAGCTTAGACTGCCGTCAATATTTTAACAAAAAATGACTGATTTGGAGCATAGTAAATAGTCATGTGATTATTTTATAATATTTAATAGCCAGGGGACTCAACAAAGCAACGTCCTATAATCAAATGATCATTTTATAACATTTAATAGTCAGTAGACTCAATAAAACAACATCATATAATCGGATCATTTATGTACTTTATCATATTTTTAAATATTCTAAAATAATAAAAGAATAAATTGTTGACGAAATTTATTAGACCTTTATTTGAATATATTTAAAAGTATTATGTTATTATTTTATCATTTTAAAAGATTAAACTTATTCAAACATATTTTAACATATTATACTCACGGATGGATTTAGGCGAGGCGGGGTCGTCCTCCTTAAAATCTAAATCGATTTTTTTTTTGTATTTTTTATTAAAAATTTATTTTTGTCATCTCTAAAATTTTATAAGTTTAAATTTGCTCTCTAAAATTTTATAAATTCAAATTCATTCTTCAACTTAAAATCTTGCACCCGACCCTGAATTTATACCCTTGTTTGAAATTATAAACATAAAGCATCAAACTTTGAAATTACGAAGTGAATGGAAAAATATTCTTGCATCGATCAATCATTGTGAACCTTTTAACCAAAGTCTTCCAAGAAAAATTTCAAATTGATGATTTGAAATTGATTGGATTGCACAAGAAGACAGCCACTTAATTCAATTTATTTAATGCAAGCAATTCATTTTTGTTGTTGTTGTTCTCATTACGTAGACAAAAGACACATGAAGAGACCAACATATCCCACCATGCTCCCCTATCATTAATCAAATACAATTTTGTTCCTATATTATGTAATTTAATATGTTTTCAAAATCACGGATCAAATGACTTTGGTAATAAATAAATTATTATTATTTTTTGAGGTTATGAGTTCGAGTATTGAAAATATTAGGGATATGATCGTTTAATATCGAGTGACTGAGAGTTATTTCTGAACATATATTATCTTGTACTTATCATAAATTAATAAAAAAATATTTTCAAAAGTCATGAAAACGCCTCAAAATTAAAGTGAACTCATTCCATCACTAAAATAATAAATTCGATGTTCATTAAGTTAAGTATAGATTTTAAAATTTATAGATAAAGATTTTTTTTGAAAGAGATTTTAGCTGACCCTTATTCTCATATGTAATGGGATAAGGGGAGGTAGGATAGTAGGCTGCCCCCAACACCAGGTTGAGAGCAACTTTCGTAAGAGACCTCCAAATTATGAAATGCCCTCCGTAGGACTTGATCTCACGACCCCAAGGTTAAGAGCCTTGTGCTCTACCAATTGAACTGGATGGTCATTTCTTGAAAGAGATTGTCCCTCCAAAAAAAATCACCCAACTCAACTTCAAACTTAATTGAAATTTTAAGATTACTAAATGCTATAAAAAAATTGATAATTGGATAGATAAAATGTGTTGCATGCGGTGCCGGATCAAGAAATTTAAGAATGTGGTCTAAAATTTTAATATTATTTTCTTAAAAATAATGGGTATGCAATTTTTTTCTATTTTTCTTTAACATATTAAATTAAATTTCACATTTTTCCTAAATAATTAGATGCACTTGGTCCTTTAGGGAGGTTGCATGTTAATAAAGAATAAAAGTAAATAAAATGATTATACAATAAAAATAAAAATAAAAATGTATGGATATACTTAAAAAACTTTAAATGAAAAAAATATGGATATAGAATAGAATTTCACTGTAATATCAAAATTATAAGAGATCTATGAAAAGAATTGGATTTGAAAATTTGAAGACAAGAAACGATATAATGAAATGAAAGAGTAAGACACAAAAAGATTAGTGGCTAAGAAAAATATATCTCCATCCCATCAAATTTGTTTCTTATGAACTTTTTAAAAGTTAAAAGTTTTAAATTTTGATCATAATTATTCAAAATTACTTTATTGAATTTTAATATATATATATATATATTATATTATAATATATTCTTATTAATAATAAATTTAACCCCTGAAGTCGCATGAGCGCAACTAACCTACTCATGATCTGGAATTAGCCAGGTGGTATTCGTTTTGAAGATTTGGAGGCACTATCTGTTCGGAGAGAAGTGTTACATCTTCACTGACCACAAGAGTTAGAAGTATTTGCTCTCCCAAAAGGAGTAAAATTTGAGGCAATGACGGTGGATAAAGTTGTTTAAGGGTTATAACTACGTGATCGACTACTATATGGGTAAAGCAAATGTAATAACCGACGCTTTGAGCAGGAAGACTTTATTGTTTGGTAATTAAACTTTATGGATGGTACCTTCATGAAACGTTTTAAAAAAATGGTTAGCCACTCACGTGATTCCGTGTGACATCGTAATTCGATTACCTTCTGGTCGAATTGGATTAGGATGTTCCTGAGATAAGAGGTCATTAAAAACCTCCCTAACTGTAATTGGATGAAAAGAGTACACCCTATCAAGGCAGGAGATCAACAACAAAACTCACCACGCAACCCGTCACACAGGACAACAAACGCTAGTAGAATCTGTTAGTTATCCTCGGGGCAATCACGCAAGCATTAGAACAATAACATAACCCCTAACATAATAACCCTGTACCAAAGATCAGCAACACAAACAAACCTGCTAAAAGACCTCAAGGCAAACACGCGAAATCTGCTATTCCCACTACGCTTTAAACAGCTAGGTGCGAAGTAAGCCTTGTTTCGCCAGCTGATCCGCTAACCAATTTCCTTCTCTCGAGACATAAACGAACTTCACCCCTAGGATTTGAATTGATAACTTGTCAATCTCCTCGAACAAATCCCACCATCTCCAAGGTCTCCAAGTTTTCAATCCAATTCAGCGTAACTTGGGAATCTTGCTTTATGAACTTTTTATCATCTTTAAAAGTAGTTTATTTTATTTCTTTTTTTTCCACTTTTTTTTTTAAAAATAATATATTTATATGTAGCTCAGTTGGTAGAGCGCAAGGTTCTTAACCTTGAGGTCGTGGGATCGAGTCCCATGATGAGCAATTCATAATTGCTGGAAGTCTTTCACGGAAGTTGCTCTCAACCTAGCGTTGGGGGCAACCTACTACCCTACCTCCCCCTTACTCCCATTACATATGGGAATAGGGTCAACTAATATATTTATATGTAGCGGTCCTTTTAGATATGAAACTTCTAACTATAAGTATTCATTGTTCATTTAGAACAAATCATTTATGTGGTACCTAAATTTATGATCAGTGTGGGATTTTCAAATCTTTATTTTAAAGGTTTAAAGGTTATTTTTAATGAAACTTGAATCCAATGGTAAAAATATTTTAATTATGTAAAAAATTAAATTATACCAATAAATAAATTAGATAATATATTATTATACCAATAAATATATATATTTTAAGATTTAGTAATCATGTTTAGGATCTAACGTTTAGAATTTAGGGTTATAACAGTCAGAATTTTAAATTTTAAATTTATGATTAAAATAGACAGATTGTACAAAATAAAATTTACATAGACTATATATATATATATATATATATATACCCAAAATTTATTACATAAAATATCACCTTTTGGCAACATATAAAATAATGGTAGACCAACAAACCCTACTCTAAAAGAACAAACTACTTGGTTATGAAAATTGGGTTATTTACATGATATCCACAATGATGAAGGTCAATATTTTCCTTCTAAAAACCTCTTGCAAAAGGCCTCACTAGCTAAGGTAGTTCCAAGTTCTTAGTTGACAAATACCACTTGCAACAAACCTAACATAAGGTAACTACTTTTTTCCTCGATCTGAAACTTTCGGTATTCGATAATCATTGGAGTAATCGGAGATCTTTTTACGTTCGATAGTAACCGGAGTTCGACTAAATTCCGACTAATAAGCTTTCCATTGAAGAGCAATATCTTGGGCTATCTTTCTCGCATCGAAAGAGGCACCCAACAATCCACGCTTTGTAAACCCTACGGCATACAGTCCACATTCACCTTTCCAACCATTGGGGAATGGCTCTCGGGGCATACCATCTTTCTCTGAAAACAAATCTTTATCCTAATCGGCGAATAAAACATTCATCGGTTCAGTTGATTGAATACTCGTAAATCAAAATTCTAGATTTGATATAGTTAGAATTTTAGAGGGGCTTATAGTGTAATTACTTTCAACCATTGTGGCACGTTGCTTTTGTAACCGGTGGCCAAGATGATGGCATCGAAATTCTCCTTCGTGCCATCTACAAACTCCGTGGCATGGTATGAGATTCGCTTTATTCCTGGATAAACCTATACCCGCATTGAATAAACAAAGTTAGGTTTAATTATAATTCTAAAATGTGCATGTTATTGGAAACAAAATTACCTTAATGTGTCCGCTCCTGATCTTGGCCAGTGTCCCGACATCCAGAACTGGTGTTTTTCCGGATCGGCTCTTGAGCTCGAGAGGGCCGATCTTGGGCCGATGGAGGCCTAGCTTCTTGGTGTCTCCGAGCACGAAACGTGACATGAAAAGCAAAAACCGGTCAACGAGGCACACGGGGAACCACTTGAGCAACCACAGGGACAATCCGAAAGTTGATCTACCTAGCATCTCATGAGGCAAGACGTGCACCTGCACTCAAAGTGCAAATAAAAGGAATTTTAAAAGAGAAAAGTGCTTCTAAATATGTAAAAAGAGGAGATGATAAAATTAGCCCCCACACCCCCATACGAATTTTCTTATATATATACATGATTATACCGTTAATGAATGAAAATAGACAGATGAGATGAACGGTATTGAATGGATAAAATCATTCTCACCGAGCCTCTAACGGCGAGTGATGGACGAGCATCACAGTTGCAGAGATCCAAGGAGACCTCCATGCCGGAGTTCCCACATCCGACCACCAAAACGTCTCTCCCTCGGAACAATCGGCCACTTTTATACGAGCTCGAGTGAAGTATAGGCCCACCGAAATCATCCATTCCGTCAATCTTCGGCACCACTTCATCAGCATTCTCCCCGGTTGCCACGACCAAGAACCTCGACACATACTCGGTCTCCTCTTCTTTCACCCCCAACGTCTTAACCCTCCAGAACCCGCATCGGCGATCGAACTCCGCACGCACGACGGTTTTCTCGAAAACCGGTTCTAGACCAAAATGTTCCTTGTACGACTCCAAATAAGCCATGAACTGCTTCTTCGTCGGATAAGTAGGAAAACAATCGGGGAATGGCAAAAACGGTAGCTGACAGAATTGTTTGGGAAGATGAAGACGAAGACGATCGTAGGTTTTCAGCTGCCACAACGAAGCAATACAGTTTTCCCTCTCGAGGATCAAACTAGGGATCCCTCTTTGTTTGAGACAAGCCGCGGTGGCCAGGCCCGACGGACCGGCACCGATAATAACAGGATACGGCACCCATACACACTTCGATACAGCAGCCATACTCTTGTTAAAAGGATCATGGACTCTTTTCCCTTCAACTTCCTTGCTATACTCCATGAAAACCAAAAACAAAGCAGAAAACAGTACTTTTAAAAGAATCAAAAGGTTTCAGGATCCCTGAATTTTCGTAACTATTGATGGTCCACACTTATTCACAGTTTTGAAAGTACCAGCTGAAATATATATTAACTAGCTGGTAGACGATGAAATTGAACCAGGGCTTTGACAGTATAAATACATGTATGAGTTGGTGAGTGAAGTACGAAACATAAATAAAGAAAAATTTTATCATAGTATAATAACTAACATCAAACACATTAACAAGAAAAAGAAGGAATGAAAAAAGAGAGCAAATGTTCGCAAGATTACAAGGACAAGGTATATAGGATATAACTATGTGTTTGATGGCGGCTAAACTCACGATATAATGCACTCAAAATAAATAAATCACGATCTGATGCACTCCCTATATTATTTGCTGAAATAGGACGAAATTGTAGCCGTAGGTCGCCATGCCTTCCGGGCGACCTACTACGTCGCCAGCTTCCCGGGAGAGATAATGGACGTTTGCATGGCACATGCACGTCCCCAACAGGTCGCCATGCATTCCCCAACACCCCTACAAGGTCGCCAAGCACTCCCAGCGACCTACAAGGTCGCCAAACACTCCCAGCGACCTACAAGGTCGCCATGCACTCCCGGCGACCTTGTAGGTCGCCAAGCAATCCCGGCGACCTTGTAGGTCGCCAAGCAATCCCGGCGACCAAGCCTCGACCAATTATCCTGGCGACCAAACTTAAACCTGCTCCCTCGTGCATGGGTTGCATCCATAGCTGGCTCCCTCGTGCATGGGTTGCAACCATAGTTGGGAGATTCCTGCATCCATAGCTGGGAGATTGTAGCCAAGCTTTAAACCTCTGTTCCCTCATGCATGCGTTGCATCCATAGCTGGGAGATTCTTGCATCCATAAGCGTTAATTTAGCTGCTAAATGCAGCAAATATCGCTGTTGAATTGCAGCCTTTCAACGCTCAACAGTTACACGATTCAATGCTCAATATTATTTGCTTCAACAATCAAATTTAATGACGCTCTCCAACGCTCATTTTCTTTATATAGAGGATATGGAGGTTTAGGGTTTAGGGTAAAAATAGAAGCAGCACATATAGAAACTTTATCGAGAGAAAGAAAGGAAGAAGAAGAAAAGAAGAAAGGCTCAAACATTTTTTGAGGTAATTTTTTATTGTTTAATTTAGTTTATTATATGAAATTATTAGTTTGTTAGCTTAGGGTTTAGGGTAAAACTAAAATTTAGTTAATTAGTTTGTTAGTTTAAGTTATATTATATTAGTTTGTTAGTTTAAGTTATATATTATATTATATAAAAAATTCGTTAATTAGTTTCTTAGTTTAAGTTATTAAATATAAAAAAATTAATTAATTTGTTAGTATCTTTAAACGTATATTAGGTTGTTTCTTGAAGTTATATTATAAAAAAAATTAATTAGTGCTTAATTAGTTGTTAGAAAGGAAAGGAAGAAGACACAAATACGCGGGTAATTTATTATTTTTGTTGTCCATTTTTAGTTGTTGTGTATGTGTAAATTAGTTAGTTAGTAAGTTTATATTAGATAATTTGTGCGAGATAATTTCTGTTTAAAAAAAATATTGTGTTAAAATATTTAGTGTTGTTTTAAAAATATTTGTTTAATTTATATTATATGTGTAATTAGTAAAGAGTAAAAATTAATTGAATGAAATAATCCGGTCAACGCATTATCTCACGAAATAATTCTTTCGAGAACATTATCTCGACAGTTCTGCCTAACAATTTGTTTGATATTTTTAGAAATAAAAATATTATCAAACTAATCATTATTATTAGTAATAATTACTAAATGTTAGTATCAAATATAAATCATTAAATATTTATAATAAATAATTATTAGTAATCATGACTAAATCATATTATTATTAAATCATTAATATCAAATCATTAGATTAATAATAATTATTAAATCTTATTAGTAATATTAGTAATCAATCAATCAAATTAAATAACAAATTTTATTTGATCATTAATATAATAGTATATTATATTATATTTATTGATTTAATGATTTATGAAATTATCTTATCTAATTTTTTAATCTAAATTAATTTATTTTTTTATTTGTAGAGAAAATGAGCAACAACTTTTTCACGATTGTCCATATAATGGACATATTATGGAAAATGAGGTCGGAGTAGTTTTTCAGTCTGAAAAAAACAATAAATATGATGTTCAAAAAAGACATCACATTTATAGAAATGAAGCATAAGATAGAAAGAAAAATTCGAGCTGCAGTTGATGGTTTGAGGTATAGGTTTATGATATGCCCCAACCCAGTCAGATATGCTGCAGTTCCACTTGAAGAAGATGATGATATTAGAACCATGGTTGGATTACATGAGTCAACCAATATAGCAGTTATTGAGTTATTTGTTGATGTACGTAACATATGTGATGTTCTTGGGTCATCAAGAGGTGTGGCTCAAAATCTATCTGAAATGGCTTTATATAGTCAGTTTGAGGAGCTGATATACAAGTTCCCGAACAGTTTTATGGCACTATTGGAAAGTGTAAATGAAGTCGGGGGGACATCTGCAGCAGCAGAGTATGAGGCGAGAAACATACCGGAATTGGTTGTTGATATTGACGCTGAAAATCGATGGGGAGAAATTCATGATGATTCAAGCGAAGATGAAGAAACCGAAGAACCCGTTTTGGGCGGCGACGAAAATATTTTTGGTGGAGGTGCAATTGATGAAGTTCCGGCACCGTATGAAGCTACTCCTCACATGTACGAGATAGACTATGATGCGATGAGGGCACCTGAATTCCAGACATGCCACATTTACCTCCATACCAAATGACTGAATCATTCGATAATTCTGGTGAATTTTCAGTTGGGGTGCAATTCAGAGGAAAAAAATGAAGCTACCCTGGCGATTAAAGAGTACTGCATAAAATGCCATGTTGATATCCATGTTGCAGAGTCCAACCAGAAAACCCTATACGCGAAGTGTGTAAAATATGGCCTAGAGTGCAAGTGGAAGATCAGAGTGTCGAAAAATCAAAGGCACGATGTTTGGGGCATCACGAGGTACAATGGTCCGCACACATGTTTGCGAAACTTCATCGAACAAGACCACCGACTATTGGACTCCGATGTAATATGTGAATACGTGAAGACGATGGTTGAAAATGATCCAAGGATATCTTGTTCAGTGTTAGCTGCATCTATTCGAAGCCAATTTGGATATCAAGTAAAATATGGCAAGGTGTGGAATGCGAAGATGAAGGCAATGAAGCTGACGTATGGAGATTGGGATACATCGTACAATGAGCTACCACATTTAATACAAGCAATGAAGCAATTTATCCCGGGAACCATAGTGAAGTCTCAAACCATGCCCGCATATGACGAAGAAGGTCAACTTCTGCCAGGGAAAAAATATTTCATAGACTATTTTGGGCATTCAAGGCATGTATTGAAGGATTTCCGTTTTGCAAACGTATGATCCAAGTAGATAGTACGTGGCTGTATGGTCAATATAGGCATGTACTTTTGATGGCAGTTTGTTCAAGATGGTGAGCGAAATATCTTCCCAATTGCATTCGCCATTGTTGAGGGAGAGACAACAGAGGCTTGGGATTTCTTTCTGACCAATCTACGTCAATATGTCGTTCGTGAAGATGGAGTTTGCTTGATATCCGATAGAGGAACGGGTATTTTGGCGGCAATTGAACGACCAGGAAGTCATTGGATACCTTCGTATGCATATCCGACATTTTTGTATCCGTCATATTGGCAAGAATAGTATCGACCAATTTCATAACGCATACATTCGTAGCGAGATAGTCAGCATGGGTAAGTTTATTTTCAATATTTGTGCATTTTTACATGGTTTTTTTTAATTGCGGTTTAACACAGTATATTATGAAACAGGATACGAACTACGTCGACCAAATTTTGACAAGAGATTGGAGAATTTGAAGGTATTTTACGATGATCAGCGTGTTTGGAAGTGGGCTTCAAAAATACCGTGAGAAAAATGGTCGCAAGCATACGATGAAGGTCGGAGATACGGACATATGACCACAAACCTTGCTGAGGCCATTAATTCGGTACTAAAAGGTACACGCCATCTCCCAATTGCGAGTGTGATGAAAGAGACGTACTTTAGATTGGCTAAAGTTTGGTCGGACAAAGGCAAAGAAATAGAGAGTCTTATAAATAGAGGTAAAACTTGGGCTCCTACAGTGGTGGAATCAATGAAAGCAAATGAGCGATTGGAAACATCAATGGTTGTTCATAATTTCGACCGAGTTGGTCATACTTTTGTCGTGTCGTGCATACGCCGTAACATCGGAGGAGATACCAAACATTTATAGTTGATTTACGACAGAAATGGTGTGATTGTGGTCGTTTTCAGGCATGGAAATATCCATGTGCTCATGCAGTCGATGCATGTATGTATGCTGGTGTAAACGCATACACTTATGTTGATGAGTGCTTTCACCTACGTAGGATATTAAATGTCTACAACTATGCGTTCAGACAGATACCGAATGAATCATATTGGCCCAGAAAAGATCATGACGAATGGCTACCAAATCCAATGCTTCGCAGAAGTCCAAAGGGTCGACCTGAGTCCACTCGTATTCATACCAGTATGGATTTCCATGCTAGAGAGAGAGGTCAAGCAAAGAGATGCGGATTATGTAGGGGTGAAGGCCATTCAAAAAACAATTGTCCTAATTTACCAAGATATAGGCCTCATTATTAGTAATGATATATGTATTTCTATGAATTTCTTGTATTTATAAGATTTAGTAATGATTAGTAATGATGAAATTATTATTATATTTAATGATTTGATAGTAATGATGTAGTAATGATTAGTAATAATGAAATTATTATAATTTAATGATTTGATATTAATGATTTAGTAATGATTAGTAATAATGAAATTATTATTAATTTTTAATGATTTGATAGTAATGATTAGTAATAATAAAATTATTATTAATT